GAAGCGTTGGGTGAAGAAAATGAAGGGAGGGATTCGGCTATCTCGTTCCAGAAAACTTATTTTCAAGGCCTTTTCCATGGTAGTGTTGGCAGGCAGGGTTGCGAGGGTGTATGCTGACATTATAGATCGAATGAAGATGGATGGTTTCTGTCCCAACATCATCTTCTCCACTCAGTGGGGACTTCCTGTTTTATCTCACCCCTCTCTTAAATGTAGAAAGACTACATTTTCGTAATTTAATTTGAATGATTCAACTTATTCATGGCTGTACTGTGTTGACTGTATCTTCAATCTCTTTGGTTCTGTTTTAATTTCTTTCGACTTAGTAATCTTCTTTTTTACTACTAATTAAGTTCAGTGAACCAAGTCCTCAGATTTCTACATTCCAATAGGCTTATTGCTTTCCAATAATAATAGCAATTACTTTGAAATGAGTACATATAATAATTGCTCAGGGTTTAATTAGGCCTTCATTATATATTTTGTAGTTGGAAAGCAAACAAAACTCTCCAACTTGGCTGAGTACTTGGGAAGCAAAAGCCAAGTACAATTAATTGCGCTGTGCCAGTGCTGGAAAGGAGTCTCCTATTAATCAAAATTAGCTACCTTTCCAACCTAGCCATACCCATCATTCTTCCGGGACGCTGTATCTCTCTCTCTCTCTCTCTCTCTATATATATATATATATATGTAAGTCAAACAAAATACAGTATCAAATAGTGACAGATAATAACATAGTTATAGCGTTAAACAGTATCTGACAATAGAATTATAAATACAAACAATAACAAATATTGAAAAGAATAAATAAATATTGATTAAAAGATAAACTAAATACTGACAAATAAAAACAAGATAAAAAGATAAATTTGACTAAAGTAAGCAAAGAGCAAGTAAGATATCAACAATACATAATAAATGGAAAAACATAGGTTAGTGTGTAATTTTTCAAGTTTTTGTCATAATTTACATTTGAATAATAGTTAGTTAAATAGTATTGTAGATTTGATTATAAATTTTATAAAAAAAATAATTAAAAAAAACAAAAAGAAAGAGAAAAAGTAGTGATTGAACAGTTCCAAAACTTTGAAAAGCATTACAACAAAAATATTGTGAAAATAATTGAAAATTTGGGCTACTTACAACAACAAATTGCATTTGTCACAAAACAAAGTTAATTTACTCAACTCTCAAATTTTGAATAAAAGAGAATCAAATCCTTTTGTTCAAAATATTTATCATCAGACAACAATTTTGATTCAAAATCAAGAAGAGTTGTTAAAACAAATCCAAAAACTTTAAAGATTAAGGCCAACTTTTGAGGAACTTGTCTCATGGCGGTCACTTTGGAGTGAGGCATGCCTGTTCCTTTGTCTAATTCAATTACTATCCCTCCATTTGATTTCAAGATTTTTCGATCCAACGGAGTCAAGATTATCATAAAAATTTATCCCATCATCTAAGTCATCATTGGGAAGGTTGTCAGCCATGTCGACTCCAGTTGTATGATCTTCATATTGATCTTCACCCTTTTTATACTCCTTAGAGTAAAAATGTAGTAGTTGAGTGTAGTTTGTCTAAGGTGTGAAGGGTTTAAAAATAAAATGGTATCAGAGCTATTTCATTTATATATTTGTATATGGTGTAGAAAATGAACAAATTTTAGTCTATAGACAGTTTTTTCTTTGCAAAGATTTAGTTTGTCTTATATTCTTGTCAATAAGTCTAACTATATTAAATACATTCCTAAAGGCTCAAGTTTTAGTTACATAAATTTTCTTGTCTTTTTTGTCTAAAAGATAAGTTACTATTTGTCCAACTTGTTTTACTACTTTGTCAAAATAGTTAAGTTCTATTGAGATCTACTAAGGTTCAACCCAAGCATATAAGTATATATATGCGGGCATAGTTAAGTATATCCAAGAATTTGTGAAGTTCTTTTGTTTTCTTAATTTTGTCTAAAGATTCAAGAATCTTCTTTACCATACAATATTGTAACTAAATTTTTCCCTATCCAATCCTCATTCCTAAAATTTCAATATACTCTTTTGAGAGGTTCATCTTACTGAGTATGTATAAAGTATCTTTTTAGTTGTTTACTTTTATGTATTATCTAGTTTAAAGAAAATTTTTAGCAAAGTGAATAGTTTATAGTTTCCATTTGTCTCATTATTCTATCTTCATGTACCTCTATATAGATGAGAGTTTTCTTGTGATCTGCTTTTATATATACAAAAAGCAAATAAGGAAGAAGTAGGAAATTAACAACAAAAACAAGTGAGGAGGCCTAGGGCATGGGCATGCCAAAAGATGTGGTTTGTGGGAGGATAGTAAGGGGATATATACCAGAGGTCAAGGCTAAGCTGGACTAGCAACCAGCAAAAGAAAATTGGATGTTATCTATAGCAGATAGTTTATTAACAATGGAAGGATAAAATTAAGACACCGCTTCTAATTTCACTTACATTACTTATTCATCATCTATTCTAATATAAATATTGAATGTTGATATAGATTAGTTCTTTTGTTCAAGCAATTGTCATTCTTCTTACCTCTTATCTTCCCATGCATTGCAGACCTAGTGGTAAAATATCAAATTTCATTATTATTAATATTTTTTTTTTTCGAGGAATTGGAAATTAGCAAATTTCATTAATTAATATCACATTACTCACGTATCCAAATTTCACGGAAAAAAAAAAAAAAAGAAAAATTGAAAGTTTGGGCTTTGGGCCTTGTGAGGGAAGGGAGAGATCAAAGGAGTAAAGTAGTTACCGTTGATTGGGCTCTGGCCCTTGTGGGAGAGGGAGACCCGTCGTCGTCGTTCAGCAGAACAAGTAACCACCATCTGGCACTCTCTTTTATTTATTTATTATTATATATTAAATCTTTAATTAATTTTTTATGTGTTAATTGATGGAGTTAAGATATTTGAAATTTTTTTAATGTGTATAAAAATTAAAATATAATATAAACTTTATAAA